TTTTAAATGGGGGGGGGGGAAGTTTCCTTTAAAAGTTGGACTGTTGCACTGTTGTAGCTTCAGTGGTTCTCAGGTTACAGTTACATAGCAGTGAATATAAACAGACTGATTAATGTGAATATTGCTGTAACCTAACCTGTGTAAAAGTTTCTCGAATAAATGTAATTTTTTTGGTGGAAGAAGCATGTATCATTTTTTTACCCTGCCCCTCAAAGAATCGGAATTGAAAACCGTTAAGAACCGGAATCGAAAAGTAGAATCGGAATCAGAATTGTGGAAATTCAAACGATACCCAACCCTACATCTAAGTGAGTTTCAGATATTGCTAACAAATGAATACCACATGATAATATTTCCTCTATCTCAGACACTTTATTTCTTAGACTACATATGTATATGAGCCAATTTAAACCCTTTACTTGGTAACTTATTCAACATTAAGATGGCAATTTAAATGTTATCTCTTTTTCACTTCCTATCAAATTGAGAGCTAAACTAAAACATACATGTAACACAATTTCAACCACACACACCATCACATACATAACCCAACATTTATCTGCACATAGATTGCTATAAATGTGCATACTCACTCGCTCAATTAGACAAGCCTCCCGGTAGCTCCCAAACATTTTTAAATAATAGTATGAAATAGATTAATGGTAATGTCTCGCAACACTAGATCTAATCAATACATTAAAATTACATTTTAGGAGGAATGAACAACAATAGAGACCAGTTAAAATGTGTCTCTATTCAAAATCTAATAAACATAAAGTCATACTCGCAGATGATGAAGTAAATAACTTCAAATAAATGAGTAGATAACTCATAGACCAGTGAATATTGGCCTACAAGAAAATAAAACAATTGTGGAAATCACCAAAACTGCAACAATTCCCATTTTCATAATACAATGAATTTCTTCTCCTATATGTATAATCATACCATCTTTCAGGTCATGTCCATCAGTCATTTCCCACCTTCATTTCTGGTTTGAACTGAAACCGGGCTTATCACTGTTTTATAGAAATGCTCAGCTTCACTACAGTCCCGATAATGTTTGGTTTGTCCATTGAAGGTTACGATGAGTGTTGCGGAGAACAATAGTCCATGCCTCACCTCAGCCTTGCGCAGCTTCATCCTGACTAGGGATTGACCAATATGACTTTTTCAAGGCCGATACCGATACCAATTATTAGTAATCAAGGAGACCGATAACCGATATTTGGAACCGATATAGATTTGCAGTAAAATCAGGAAACCTTGGTGTCAAAATGTAGAATAACACAAACTCCAACACAACTCAACACAACTTCTTTGAAATGCATTTAAGCATATATTATGTTTAATTAACTTTTAAACATCTTACAACTGGTTTCCTCTCTGTGCCCTTTTCTTTAGTGCAGTCATCTGCAATGAGTTAGAGAGAGAGACAAGAAGTGGGGCTGCAGGCTGACATGCTTAACTAACAATAATGCTTAATTTATTAGATCTGTCTATCTAGCATAACATCCCAATAAGCTGCTAGCAACTGCAAAACACTAGTGCTAGCTAATGTTTTGCAAACTATTAAAAGTGAGGCTATTACAGTAGACCTAACGTTAGTCTAGTAGCCTCACTTCTAATATTTTGCTAAACATTTGCTAGATACATGTTGGCTAGCTAATGAGCTTCCCATATCAACCTGAAAAACTGCGAGGCTCCATTCGCAGCCCCTCCCCTCCGCACCACAGTTACTCCGTTGCGAGACGCTGCACGCACCCCCAACTCTGACTGACTTTTGTGGGTTCCCTGTGTAACTGGGAAACTGATAGAATTGGATCATAAGATCGTGGTGTTTTTGCAACTTCAGCATAGGGGATAGGGATGTTTATTGAACTTTGGTTTAACACATGTATGGCTCTGACGCTCAGCGCTGCTGCTTGCTTCAGTCTGTGTCCTTTCGCACCTGCCTGTAATCTGAGAAGGTCCCGCCTCTCTGGCTGGCTCCCGCCCGGAAAATCTTCAGTAATAGCCTATCAGATAGCGCTGTGGGCGGGACATTGCTCGTGTACACAGAGTGGTGACTGCAGCCAGAGAAACGGCCGCATCAGAGCCAAAGTTTTATCGGCAATTTGATAAAAAAAAGGCAGATACCGATAATCGGTCAAATGCGGAATATCGGCCCCGATAATCGGCCAAGCCGATTCGGTCGACCCCTAATCCTGACGTCATTGAATAGGGCTCTCTACCTGGGAATATCCAGAGTAATATCAGGAAATATCTTCACTCGCATGTCACGGAAAATAATCTCTCCCTTGCTTCTTGCCAGCTTCAAGATAGCATCCTTAGCTTGATATCTCTGCATAGTGACAATCATAGGTCTGGGTCTCAAATCAGTCCTCTGCCCAATCCTGTATGCAATCCCGACTGCCGGTTCACATGAGAGCTCACTTCCGAACACCTCCTTTAAAAAGTTTGTCACAAAGGCAATGGGATCGCTCTTCTCAATGTCCGTTTTCAGTCCAATCACACGTAGATTAAACTTTCTGCTTTGAATCTCCATCCTCTCTATTTTGTCTTTAAACTCTTTGTTTTCCTTCATTAGATTGCCATTTGCGGTTTCGAGTATAGCAACCCTACAATCCATGTCGGTTATCCCCTCCTCCATATCACCGAGCTTCTGACAACATGAGTCAAGTTCTCCCTTTAAAGCATCAAGCTGCGGCTGGAATTTCTCGAAAGCGGCCCCTATCTCCTCTCTTATTATGGAGCGTATTAGTACCGACAGCTCCGAGTGGTTCACCTGCAAGGCCCCGCTTTCCATGGCGTCCTCCTCTGCTGCTTGTGTGTCACTCACTCCCGAAAGACAGCTGCTCCCATTCAATGGCACTTTAGCCTTTTTGTTTGGTTTCTTCGGTGGCATTACATTCCCCACATCGTATTTCACTATAAACTTTGAGTGATCAACTTGCTCATCTGATCATAACCTGATTTCTCAAAAAGTTTGCTACGGGAGATACACGCTCTCAGACTTCACACACTACTTCCGCGCAAGCGTATCAAAAGTAAAAACACTCATTATGCAGATTCAGGGCTGGTTCTAGCCAACTTGATTCCCTAGGCGAGATTTTAGCTGGCGCCCACCCCCCAGCCAGAGAATTGTACAGTAGAAAAGATAAAGATCAATAGAGTATCCAAGGAATACACAATAGAATATATAAATGAAAAATCTCTACAAAAGACAAATACACTACAAAAACGTATTGACATAGGTTATATACATCAAAAAGGATTCAAATGTATTCAGTATTGTATGAACATGTTTGATATATATATATATATATATACACATACATATATATACACATACATACATATTAGGAATGCACGATAATTATCGGCCCAATATTAGGAATTATGACGTCATCCCGATAAACCCGATGCCAGTATTAATATTCCCGATAATATACAATATATTTTTTGGGTAAAAAAAAAAAGAAAAAAATACTGCGGTGTGGGTGGATTGGGATGAGGGGCTCTTGTTTTTCACTCGGCTCCTCCCGTTTTGCCAGGACTGTGGTATTAGTGGTTTAGGAAGATGGGAGTTCTTCACAAATCCAGCGCTCCCTAACTCATGCCTGGCTGTGACGTAAATGGTGTGCGGCCGTGAAGCCAGGACAGTAAACAAACATGTCGTCGGTGGTATGGGCGTTGGAGCTATGTGCAACTCAAGGCATATGCTCGAACCGGAGCTGCCTGGACGCTGCAATCATGTTGCGCACTATCCGTGCTGAGTGTGCTGACTTTTCGCACAATGTCCCACTGTCTGGCTTCCTGCATAAAGTCAAGTGCTCTGCGCAGTTGTGGCGAAATGTCGCTCCTCTGTTTTCATTTAAACAGCTCCTTATATCCGTTAGCGCAGCTAGCTAGCACCAGATGCTAACAACAACAATGCACGTAAGGTCTCTCTCTCGCTCGCTCGGGCCACACATACACACACCCTCCCGGTCCTCCAGATGGCCAGTCGGTGCCTGCCGGTGAGCGTGGAAGTGTGGTCTGCCACAAGCGGGCGGCAGGAGCAAACGTTTGCCTCGGGGAGGGAGAAAAAGAGCCACAGCGGAGAATAAACTGAAGGGCAACCATGACAACCATGCAAGGGAAGTCTTCTTCGCTGCTTTTGTGGCAGATTACAGCGCCACTTAGAGGCCTGGCATATGTACTACAGCGTCTCCAGCGCTTTCGAGCAGCAATGACTGTCCGTGGCCCAACCTCTCATTCCCCTGATAGGTGGAGAATTGACCAATAGCCGTAGCACCACCGTCCTGACGTCACGACAGTGTTCAAATTCTGGATCAGATTTGTTGCAGCCCCTTTTTTTTTAAAGATGTGGGTATGGAGGAAAAATAGAGAGGGTTGTGTTTTCTGACACAAGTGAGTTCCCTGGAACACCGGGGACACATATTCATGTATAAAAGACGTACAAAAGTGCATTTTGCATGATAGGTCCCCTTTAATTTACTGCTGGCCAGCAAATTAATGTAATCCTGGTGCTGCAACTAAAGTCCTAGTTTTTATCATGAATCTACATCTGCAGATTTACTGAAGGTATTACACAAATGCTTTGGAGCAAAAGTACAATATTTACCTCTGAATTGAACTGGAGTAGGAGTACTTAAGTTCAGTACTTTAGAACTAATTTTATTACCACCACTGCAAGGTTTACTGTAAATGTGATAGCTATGAAGCTTTTTGTCATCCCAATGCCAACCTTTGACGTTACAAAAAACCTACTTCTGTACAGCGACAAAGCAGATAAAACTTAAATAGGTTCGACTCACATTTTTGACTTTCATTGTTTAAATGATCTCATACACGATAACCTCTCAACCAAAGTGTGGCCAACACGTCAGACTAGAGGAAGAAAGTTCCAGCCGCCATGCTTTCATTGTGACGACGTTAATCACAACCGAACCGCCATGATCGAATAACAGCGAAACAAATGGTAGTACACGTACCAAAGGTAGGCTGAACACTCTCGGAGACTTTATCCTTCCTTGTTAACATCACGTACGTTGTCCCAAAAGATGTCTTCTTATATAAAATCCAGCCGAATCTCTTAAATGTAGAACAGTCGATGTACAGCCTTCACAGGAAGCGAAGAACGAAGATCTGAGCGGAAATTTCAAAATAAAAGCGTCACCATCACCATCAGCGATCAAAACGGGATTTGTCAATGTGCACAATTATATGATTACTAACAATCAATGTAATATATTCGTTACTTCTGTGTTTTCCAACACATTGTTTGATGTTGCAGCACTTTTATATGCTTTAAATCATGACATTTCAATGTAAGTTTAAGTAACTCATTTCCGGTGGTAATACTACTGCCCTTTTAAATGCCACAATCTTAAATTATTTAAACAATAATTCAAGAGTATTCAATTATAATTCAAAGAGGTCCAGATCCTCAAATGTTTTACCAGCAAAGGTCAGAACCTCATATTGTAGAAGTAGCGTGCTATGGTCTAACTCTACATCTTTCTTTATTCTTACTTTCTAATATGGTTGCTGATTGGTGAGCCAAGAAATGGGGCTTAGTTTAAAAAAAATAATCCTGTTCAATCTTTGTGAAGGAGGCCTGACTCACAGCTGTAAAACAATCCAGTAACAACAGACAGAAAATAAACATTGCTCTGTGAAGATGATTTATTCTCATGAATTTATCAAATTATTAACAGACTCAATAAATGAAATAAACAGGAGATGTTCATAATTGTTGGAGATACTTGCCTGCTTTTGAACTCAAACTGAGCAGGCTATTACAGTTTATTTCACAAAAAATACACCCAGACACTTCAATACATTGACTTTCTAGCCAATTACTCCATAAATAAACTTAAATATTTAATTCAACCACATCAATCAGAAAATAAAACACAATCCAACAAAGTATTTTTCATCAGTGTATGTATCAGATGCCAGAGACAAGTTTGGCATACAGAGTGAAATAGTAGAATTTTATTTAACTTTTATTATGTTATGTTCATAATTCTGGGTGGAAAAAAAAAAACTTGAGAAATAACTGCACACTACTGCGTTGTATCATAAAGATTCTGTTTCCTGTTTCCTGTTGGAGCATTTATTTAATCTGTACAGTTTTAGTGCTAGTTGGGGCATGTTCAGAAGGCTCTGAAAAGCTGGTTTGGCATGTATCCCAGGTGGAGGAAGGAAGATTGGACTTCCCTCTCAAGGTTAGCCAGTTCCAGGACCGTTGGTGCCAGAGCATCCACGTGACTCTTGTAGTTACCACCTAGGCAAGGGCAACAGGTTTGTTAGTCATGCTCAACACAACTGCAGTGGATGTATCTTTATCAAAGTTACCAGCAAATCTATGCAATGATTATGATAAAAAAACTGCCAATTTGTAAGCAGTTTAAAACATACCTCCCAAAGCCTTACGCTGACCATAGGTGACCTTTCCATCAAAGTCATCCACAGGTACTTTGATGTCTGGCTCGCACTGCACTGTGTGACGGTGCACTTCAGACGCTCCTCAATGTCTGACAGGAGCTGTGGAGAGAGGAAAGGGAATAAAAGACAAGTAGAATAGAGAATCCACAATGGTTAGTGTGGAATTATGTCATAAGGGTCAAAAGTGTGTGTCAAGCTTTCAATGCTTCCAAATTATAGCAAAACCTTTCTGTTCATAGGAGTTTTACTTTGAATGTTTGCATCTGCTTCCTATCAAATCACTTAAAAAACCCTCTGCTGAATCAGTTGTATATCAAATTACAGATTTTCCTAGCTGCCTTGGCTTAATTTAATAATAATAGCTTAGATTTATATAGCGCCTTTCATGGGACCGAAGGTCGCTTTACAAGGAAGAACAGGGCAAAACAAACATAACAAAACAAAAGGCAATCAGACAACCAGTCAGACAGACAAAAACAACAAATAGATTAGGGGCCAAAGGCCTTGGTGAACAGATGGGTCTTGAGGGCCCTTTTGAAGGCGTCAAGCGTGGGGATGTTGCGGATCTCCGCAGGGAAAGCATTTCAGAGGGTGGGGGCTGCCACGCTGAAGGCTCTGTCCCCGAAGGTTCGCAGTTTGGTGCAGGGGGTGGTAAGCAGGCCAGAGTCTGAAGACCGCAGGTTCCAGGGTGGGGCATGTGGGTGAAGGATGTCCGATAGGTACTGGGGGGCATGGGCATGGAGGGACTTGTAGGTAAGGAGGAGGATTTTTGAATGATATGCAGGACTTGACCGGCAACCAGTGGAGGTGGATGAGGGTGGGAGTGATGTGCTGCCATGGCTTTGTATTTGTGTGTACCCTAGCAGCACAGTTCTGGACATACTGGAGCCTGTCCAGGGTTTTGTTGGGAACCCCAAACAGGAGACCATTACAGTAGTCCAAGCGGGAGGTGACAAACGCATGGACTAGGGTTTTGGTAACCGACTCCGAGAGTGACAGTCGGAGTCTTGCAATGTTCCTTAGATGGAAAAAGGCCGATTTGGTCACAGACTTTATGTGGGAGTGGAAGGAGAGGGTGGAGTCGAGGATGACACCCAGGTTGCGGGCTTCAGGAGATGGAGAGATGGAGCAGCCGTCAACCTCGAGGATGAAGTCACCAACCTTCTGGAGCAGCACCTTGGATGCCACAACCATGAGTTCTGTTTTCCTGCTGTTTAGTTTGAGATAGTTGCATGACATCCATGCTTTGATGTCATACAGGCAGTTGATGAGAGACTGAGGGGGGAGCTGGGAGGATGGAGTGGTGCTGAGATACAGTTGGGTATCATCAGCGTAACAGTGGAAATTGAGTCCATGATGTCGGATGATCTGGCCGAGGGGGAGCATGTAAATGGTGAACAGGAGGGGGCCAAGCACAGAGCCCTGGGGTACACCGTGGTGGACTGGGGCCGGGGGTGAATTAGAGCCATTGATGGAGACAAACTGTTTCCTGTTATGGAGGTAGGATGTGAACCAAGACAGCGCTGTGCCAGTGATACCTAGGAGGTCTGAGAGGTGGGTGAGGAGGATGTTGCGAGCGATGGTGTCAAACACTGCAGAGAGGTCCAGGAGGATGAGGATGCTGAGGCGGCGAGAGTCAGCAGCAATGAGGAGATCGTTGGTGATCTTGATGAGGGCGGTCTCAGTGCTGTGTTGCTGTCTGAAGCTGGATTGGAAGGGCTCATAGAGCTCATGGTTTGACATGTATAGATGGAGTTGGCCGGTCTTTTGAGTATGGTGGTGACTGAAGCCATTTTGAAGCTGGTGGGGATTATACCAGGAGCCAGAGAAGCGTTAATGATGACCACCATGTAGGGACAGAGGGTGGGTAGGCAGTCCTTGACCAGGGCTGTGGGCATGGGGTCCAGGGAGCAGGTGGAGGTCTTGGCCGAACTGACCAGTTTGGCCACTTGGAGAGCATCCACAAGGGAGAAGGAGGAGAGGTTGGAGTGGGAGAGGCGCGGCGCTGGGGGTGCGTTACCAGGTGGCTGAGGTGCAGGTAGGGGGGGAGGGCCAGGCGCCAGGAGCTGCTGATGGATGGCCTCGACTTTTGCCTGGAAGAAGTAGAGGAATTTGGAGCACAGATCGGGAAACCCTGAGGGCTGGGGGGCGGAGTAGGCGGTTGATGGTGGAGAACAGAATTTAGTTTGTTTCTGCATCTTTGTTCACCTCTTTCTCTTTGTACCAGATGGTGCAACCTCCGTTCTCCTTCAGTCGCGTGTTGTAGCAGCCTCTGCCTCTGTTCGTACAAACGTGGTACCACACCTGCACATATGAAGAACACATTTCATTTGAACTTCTTTTAAAAGTTACCTGTAATTAAAATGAATTAGCATATTTCTGTATCTCTGCTACCTTCCCCTTTTCCATAGCAACCAAGGAAATGGCCAGTCCCATTATGCAAGTTAAAAGCAAAACTAAACTAAAATGTAATTATTTTCAGTTAAATCATAGTGTAATGAGACATTTTAAAAAGGTATATTGTGTGAATTTACAAACAAAACTAATATGGTGACAGAGGAAAATAATAATTGTATCTCCTCTTCAGCCAAAATACACAAACTCAGTTAGTCTCAGGTTGTCAGCGCTTACCTCTCTCGGCTCTTCCGACTCTGCCGATACAATGGACGTAGTTCTGCTTCTTATCTGGCAGGGTGATATTAATCATTGGAGAAAGATGAAGAGAGCGGTCTTATATAAAAACATTTATGATTTTGTGATGACCGTTGGTCCGTTTTAATTTGAAGATCTGAAATATTTATCATACGGAACTCGGTGGACATTAATTCCTCTGGCAGCTACATCTGTGTAGATCAACAGCCTCACTTATTTTTTCTGTAAACACAAGAAGATCTTACAACATAAATAGACTGGATGTCATCCATAAAAAAGGTATCATTAAGGTCTTGTTGTTTTACCTTGCAATGCTCCAAGTTAGTCTTACGCTCATTGGGCTTACGATCACCACGGAGACAAACGCAGGACAACTGGTGGCTTTTACTGTCCGGACCTAAAGAAAAGACACCAAAACTGAGTGTTTATTCTGATTAATTAAGAATGAAGTCCTTATTATTTTATAGGTGTGTGTATGTCTAGTGATGGCTGAAATTCTCAGTAGTATACCTCCTCCTTGCTGAATGAAGTACTGTTCCATGTTGTCACAGTTGATCTTGGTGCGACAGAAGATTATGGCCTGGTCCATCTTGTGCTCTTTGATGGCCCTCACTGTGTACTCACCCTTTAGTATCTTGATGGCTTCTGACCACAGCTGGTGAGCACAAACAAGCATCGTTAACATATTCTTTTAATTCATCTGCACCTCACATATAAAACGTTTTCAGAAAATACCCAAAAATGTGAAAAAAAGTGACTGTCAAAGCAATTTTGGGGTATTTTCTATACATCTATAAAAGATAATACAGGGAAATATAAAAAGTATAACACTGTTAAATGTGCAGAACGTATATTTTTAGATATGGCTCAGCATAAGTACTACACAGGAAATGGTTTTCCGATGTTTGTGAAATCCAGTGTTGTTAATACCTCACTAAAGTCATACCTGAGTTTGGGGTTATCCACGTATTTCGCACATTAAATGACATTGTTAAGGGTTTGTTCGGCCAACTCTTTAGATGGCTCGATGATCAGGGCTTTGGGTGAATTGGATGTTGCTTTCACCTGACTCACTTTGGCATTGCCTGCACAAACAGAGAAAAGAGGGCTAATCAATGCAGGAATATATCAGTTACATTAGCAATGGTAAAATGGCCGCTCTGGTAATATGATTTAAAAATGTCTAACGAAAGAAGGCTTTTATTGTGAAACTGTTGGAGAAAATACTGTTGTCTCCTCTTTGGGTTTGTTTTAATGCACTGATATCATGTGTGATTCTGAACTGTGTACGACCTTGCAGCTGCCTCTTTATGATGGGAGGAGGCAGGGCATTTCAGGTTGTTGATCTTTATGAGGAGACAGGCACATACTTGTTGTCTCCTACATATCTCACTTATTATAATTCCAGAAGACGTCACAGATGACCCATCGCAGATGACCCGACTTTCCGACACCCGCGGCTGATATTCCGACACGGCTGATAATAGTGCCACCTCGATTTATGACTTTGTTGTAATTTATCTCCGTGTTTTGAACTATATAAGCCAAATGTTTTTTGCTGCTCCGTTGAGTAACATACCCCATGTGTGTGAGTTAAACCATAGCCTTTGTATGTGATTTAACTCTGCTCCTTCTTGCAATAATAAATTAGTACCTGATTATTGATTCTCCAAACAGAAACTAACGATTGTTTTATCAAAATTGTCTCTGGTTAAGGTGTATGATAGTCATCTCAGTTACATTCCGTATCTGTTCTTTCTGCATATGAAATAAGGTGGTATCCAAACACCTGCCTGGGTAGATTTGACTGTGTGGCGCCTGGTCCATGGCAACAAACCCACTCTTGGGGGCATTTTTAAAGTCTTCTCCTCCAGAGTTGAACTTCAGCTCTGCATTCTTGAACACAGATAAGAAAGAGAGCCATTTGTATGGTGTAAAACTGGCACCTGTTAGTTTTTTTAATCCAGCATTACTTTGATGTGATACTTTTAGAATGCAGGAGGCAAAGAAGGGCTGACTCTTCAATTGTTGAGGGATCTCAAAAGCCACACCCAGGTCATTACCTGAAGAGAAGAAGACAAGAAACATGAGCAACATTGCTATAGTGCCCCAATTAGTTAATGATAATAATATGAATGATAACTACTAGGACCGCACCAGGGTTTCCCACACATAGACTTTACTTGGGCGGGCCGCCCAGGTATATTAACGGCCGCCCAAGTATATTAACGGCCGCCCAAGTATATTTCGCGTCCCATTTAGGTATTTCTTTTTTTTTTAATCCGTCCACGTCCAAAACTCCATCTGCGATCAATTAATTTGTGGACAATGATCCCTCGCTCTACGCCTCCTGTACCCAGGCCCGGACTGGCCATCGGCAGGACTGGGGGGTTTCCCAATGGCCTGGCCTGTTCAGTGGCCTGCCTCACACAGGGTGACTGGCTGTCTATTAGGGAATTTGAAAGCAAATGTATATTTGAATATTCGACCCCCCAAAAAACGGTTAACCGGTTAACCGAAATGTACATATCCTATAAAAAAAAAATTGGGTAAAAAAAAATGTTCAAACATTTTTTTTTTCAATAATTTTTGGAAATAAATACATACATGTTCAAATAAGTGTAGAAACCAAGTCGAATTTGTCAAATGTATTGAACTGGTGATCACAGTTTGACAGCTATAGGCCTACAGCTTTCATGTGCGGAGGTGTAACGGTATCCGTATCCGTCCCGTACCGTCACGGTTCGGAAGTCACGGTTCGGACGTCACGGTTCGGCACATGCAGTTACGGTTCGGCACATGCAGTCACGGTTCGGCACATGCAGTCACGGTTCGGCACATGCAGTCACACGGCGAATACGCCTTTTTTTTTTACGAGTGGGGAAAAAATTCTGTCACTCAGGGCAGTATTACACTATATATAATCCAGGGGGCGGTATTGCGCCTAAAAGCCAGCCGCCCGTAAATAACAAATAAAGAACAAGAACAAAACACAACAAAACGAACACAATATATGAAGAAAAGTTAGTATCTATGGCGAGTTCACACAACACACAGGAGCTAGAAGACCCACCTGCTTCTTTTAAATCAGGTGTGTGGGAACATTTTGGGTTCCCTGTGGACTACAACAATGATGGGGTGCAAGTTGTGGATCGGGACTAGGACGGTGTGTCGGCGTTGTTCGACAGCGGTGCGGTATGCTAGTGGTAACACGTCAAACATGCTCAAGCACATCCGAGTCAGTCTCAGTCCCCAGCGAGAGGGTTTTCCCGACGGCAGGTGACATAGTTACCGCCAACAGATCTGCCCTCACTACTGACAACGTAGACAAACACATCTTTTTGAAGAAAAACTTAAAAAATAGAGTAGAGCTTGAGTACCTTTATTTAGGCATAATGGCCTCACACACTCACAAGTTAATTACACATGTTAGACATTGCTCCTAAAGGTACAGATTTTATTTTGTTTTATATTTATTATTGTATTTATTTTATATTTTGACATCAGGAGATGTTATACAGTTCTGTATTGCCTTTCATTGATTGTGATTGAAACACTTTATTATTTATTTTAATATTTTCAAGACATTCTTTTTAGTTGTAGGCTACAGCTTATTTAACCTTTTTGTTTGACATCAGCCAATATAAATAATATGGCCATCTGAGTGTGTGTGTGTTACTGTTTGTGGTTTGTTTTTAACTGTGTAATACAGTTAATGATTCCAAATGTTAGAGTTCCTTATTTTCATACCAAAACTTGCACGACTGTTAAAAATAAATAACAGCAAAAAAAAATTATGCATTTGGGACTTTTCTTTGCTTTTCCTTGTTGTACCGAACCCGTACCGAACCGTGACCCCCAAACCGAGGTATGAACCGAACCGTGACTTCTGTGAACCGTTACACCACTAGCGGAGGCGATTCACAATCAGCCCAGCTGTAGAGAAGACCCTCTCAGCTGGAACGGAGGTTGCGGGTATAGCAAGGTATAGCATATATAAGTTTAATTTAGCATAGTTTGCACTCTACACCGCACTCACTAACCTGGTCGAAATATTTCCACACATTACTCCTTTTTGACGCCATGTCTGTTGTGTAGGACTCTTCTTAGAGTGTAAATAATTACCGGACTATGACTGGTAAAATATGTTGAATACCGGCAAAACTAAATCTCTCCAGTCAAAATGTCTATGTACTTTGCCGCCACACACGGTTGCCAAGCAGCGCTTATTGTTGTTTAGGCTGGCCACTCATGTGTCGCGAGTGTTGACAGGGGGCGGGGGAGCACGCTCATGAACTGTTAGCGCCGGAACCTCGCTGCGGAGCGCATTTGCGCCACATTTGGGCCTAAGATGAGGTTTGAGTCTGCGTGATCGGCGTGTAGGGAGGGGCAGCAGCCATATCATTGGCTAGAACTAGCTAGATCTGATGGATTTGGACATAAACGCGAGTGAAGTATAACCGGACGCGAGAGAGAGATCAGCACCTGCAGCTCTGCCTGCTGTGAGGGACCGGTGAGCGGAGCAAAACACACCTTTAGACCTCAACTAACACATTTAGCTATGGCACTGTCGTGTATATATATATATATATACATTGAATTATTCAATTTGATAATATGTAATCAACTTAGGAATCACTCCCCAAAAAAAAAAAAAAAAATTATAAAAATATTCATAACTCATATTCGAATACATGAATAATTATTCGAATAACTGAATAATTTCGAATATTCGATTAATCGTTCCCATCCCTACTGTCTACATGATGTGGCCTGCCGACATGGCCACTGTCAAACAGATCATAAATCAAAGCCCTTGATTGGTCTCTGTGTGTCAGTCAAGCTCTGGATAACCTCAGCTCAGGTGAGGTAAAGGACTCTCTGAGTGTTTAGATAGTTAACTTAGTCTAAGTTCTCTGTGGGTCTCAAACGGTTTGGTCACCATTTATGTAAACACATATTTCCATTTGAGGGGGTAGTGAGTGATTAGTAAAATATGCATGAATAAAAAAAAAAAAGAAGTTAACTAGGTGAAAAAAAATACACTTTTAAAACTTGTTGAGAGCTAAAACTAGCCTTTGCTGCTGCCTCAAAGAGGAGAAGGGAGGAGAGGAGGGAGACAGGAGAGGCTGATTCAGGAGCACAGACACACTCACAACTATGAATGAACCAAAAAATAAAAAATAAACAAGTTTCAGTGTTTTTCATATTGGAAATGGTATGTTATTGGTTATGGACATGATTTTATGATTATTGAAATGTATACAGTTCTGTTTCATATACAGTGGGGCAAAAAAGTATTTAGTCAGCCACCAATTGTGCAAGTTGTCCCACTTAAAAAGATGAGAGAGGCCTGTAATTTTCATCCTAAGTACACTTCAACTGTGAGAGACAGAATGGGGGGAAAGAATCCAGGAAATCACATTGTAGGATTTTTAATGAATGAATTGGTAAATTCCTCGGTAAAATAAGTATTTGGTCACCTACAAACAAACAAGATTTCTGGCTCTCACAGACCTGTAACTTCTTCTTTAAGAGCCTCCTCTGTCCTCCACTTGTTAACTGTATACATGGCACCTGTTTGAACTCGTTATCAGTATAAAAAGACACCTGTCCACAACCTCAAACAGTCACACTCCAAACTCCACTATGGCCAAGACCAAAGAGCTGTCAAAGGACACCAGAAACAAAATTGTAGACCTGCACCAGGCTGGGAAGACTGAATCTGCAATAGGTAAGCAGCTTGGTGTGAAGAAATCAACTGTGGGAGAAATTATTAGAAAATGGAAGACATACAAGACCACTGATAATCTCCCTCGATCTGGGGCTCCACGCAAGATCTCACCCCGTGGGGTCAAAATGATCACAAGAACGGTGAGCAAAAATCCCAGAACCACACAGGGGGACCTAGTCAATGATCTGCAGAGAGCTGGGACCAAAGTAACAAAGGCTACCATCAGTAACACACTACGCCGCCAGGGACTCAAATCCTGCAGTGCCAAACGTGTCCCCCTGCTTAAGCCAGTACATGGCCAGGCCCGTCTAAAGTTTGCTAGAGAGCATTTAGATGATCCAGAAGAGGATTGGGAGAATGTCATATGGTCAGATGAAACCAAAATAGAACTTTTTGGTAAAAACTCAACTAGACGTGTTAGAGGAGAAAGAATGCTGAGTTGCATCCAAAGAACACCATACCTACTGTGAAACATGGGGGTGGAAACATCATGCTTTGGGGCTGTTTTTCTGCAAAGGGACCAGGACGACTGATCCGTGTAAAGGAAAGAATGAATGGGGCCATGTATCGTGAGATTTTGAGTGACAACCTCCTTCCGTCAGCAAGGGCATTGAAGATGAAACGTGGCTGGGTCTTTCAGCATGACAATGATCCCAAACACAACCGCCCGGGCAACGAAGGAGTGGCTTCGTAAGAAGCATTTCAAGGTCCTGGAGTGGCCTAGCCAGTCTCCAGATCTCAACCCCATAGAAAATCTTTGGAGGGAGTTGAAAGTCCGTGTTGCCCAGCGACAGCCCCAAAACATCACTGCTCTAGAGGAGATCTGCATGGAGGAATGGGCCAAAATACCAGTAACAGTGTGTGAAAAACCTTGTGAAGACTTACAGAAAACGTTTGACCTCTGTCATTGCCAACAAAGGGTATATAACAAAGTATTGAGATGAACTTTTGTTATTGACCAAATACTTATTTTCCGCCATAATTTGCAAATAAATTCTTTAAAAATCAGACAATGTGATTTTCTGGATTTGTCTCTCATAGTTGAGGTATACCTAGGATGAAAAGTACAGGCCTCTCTCATCTTTTTAAGTGGGAGAACTTGCACAATTGGTGGCCGACTAAATGCTTTTTTGCCGCACTGTAGGTGTTTCCATAGATCTAGTCTCTTTATTTTCCCCTCAAAATGCACCAGATTGATGCATTTAACTCCAAAATAAAATAAAAAATCTTACCGGGGGAGCATGCCCCGGTTTTGAAAAATAGTAACCCATGTCCATATGTTTATTTGTGGGTAGTAGATTTAAACTATAGGGCTATCACTAGGGATAATACCGAGCACCGGTATTATTAAAGGCCGTGGTACCGTTAAGCTCCAACGTTAGCGGTCTTTTTATCGGTACTGGAGACATGTAAAAAAGATATGTCATATGTATTATTGCTACACAAACATTATATTGCAGTTTTATATATACAGTCTATGGGTTAAACTTTACCCGTCTCGATGCTCGTTGCCTAAAGTGCAATAAGAGTTTAGCATGTAAGAGCGGTAACACGAGCAATTCGTCTAAATATTTAGCAAAAGTGCACCACATCCAGACGGAGAAATGCACCGAGTTCGACTGTCTTTCTAGTAGCTCTGTAGCCCCGTCCACGAGTAACGTTCCCACGTCAGGTGTTATGTATGCTAGCAGCAACAGTTAACTCAATGATACAAACATGGGTTAATGATTAGAGGTAACTGAGTTATTTATTTTGTTAAAGTTTCAGTTATTCTGTTTACAGTTCTGTCATCAGATTATTTAATACGATTTGTTAAAACGTTGTTGTTTCTTTTGATGTGATATATTATGTATTTAATAAAAAAAAAAAGCAATGTTAGTTTTGTTCACAATTTGTTTAGTTAGTTTACCTTATTTTTTTCTCATAAAGAACCAATAAGAGTACCGTTAAAAGACCGGACCGATAAGCGGCATCGATAAAAGTAGTAGTACCGTTAAAACCTTAACGATACCCATCCCTAGCTATCACTATGGGCCCTGCCTGTACCTGTTCGCTCTGCCATCGTGTGAAGGGTCTGCTAACAAGCGACCAACAGAAAGGTTAATGTTAATGTTGTTGCACGTCACCTCATACTTATCAGTTCCTGGAAAGAAATAAAGATTACAAAATGTAATATGTTTTCTAGTCAGACAGTTTATTATAGACTGAGTATCTTGTACAGCATTAAGGGGGCATACCCAAGTCCAGGGCTGCCTGACTGGTGGACCACCCAATGCGACATAGACCCTGGTCATGGCAGGTCACCTCATAGTAGTACTTCCCTGGATAAATAAAGACCTAACTTTTCCAACTTGGGCTGATGTTTAAATGCAAACTGTATATTGTACAATATGTTAGTTGTATTATAATCTGAGTGACTGTCAAGTACTTACCCCTGTTTTACCACTACCATTTTCTGTTGCCTGAAAAAGGGAATAAAAAAGGAGAATGAGACAGAAACTTGTAGTGTTCAAATTTTGAATAAGAAATAAAGAGGGAGGCCTACCATAAGCTCATCTCCTCCACCAAGAATACATGGAATAGACTCTGCCTGGATGTCAGTAGGTAGCCTGACACGCAATGATTGCAATATAAATCAGTTTAGTGTCAACTGTTAAGCTTGCAGAAATGTCTAACAGGTCGAAACAATGTGCACAGATATCACAAAACAGACGTAGATTTGGCCAAGTAAGCCTGAATGACTTACAGCCAGTCTAACTCTTCCACAGCCTGCGCTATTTCAGGCATAACACCCATTTCAGTTTGAGCCCAACTTTGAACATTTTGAAATGTATGCGACATCAACACGGTTAGATTGATATATATTCTTACCCGAAAACGCTGCCGGTGCAACTCCTTTAGTGGTCCTGCAAATAAGCCTTGTATCATTGGTTCCGGTTGGTGAATTAGTTCGTAAAATACGGTTAATATATAATTGCAAAATATACAAGAAGGGCTACGACAGCATATATGTCTGTGTTTAAATCTCATAGCATTTAAGTTATTATCAAGCCATGAGAATACTTAACTTGGACTATAAGCTACATTTTCCAAACGCGGTTCCCTGATAAATGTTGTCCAGTGCTGCTCCCCGTAGACTTTTTTTGACAGGTTGTTCAAGTAAACATGGCTGATAGAAGGCGAAAATGAAAACATTTTGTACGATTTACTTGTTATTAACGAATGGCCGGCAGAGAGACCCTCTCCTGGTTCCTGGTTATTTACCTGTTGCGGTAGAATATCTGCGGTGATACATCCGGCATCCAGGCTGGCAAATCTGGCTGCAGGAGAGGGATGAACTGACCCAGCAGCCAGGGCAGGCGGGGTGGACTTGAAATGGGTGTCTCAAGATTCAACCCACGCAGCGTTACGTTTTAGACTTCCGGATGTTATTTTCACAATAAAACCCCTTGTCGCTCCTCATATGGCAGTCTTCAGGTTTTGATAAACGCACATCGCAAACAATAAAAAACGCAGAGGTGGGAAGTCACTAAGTACATTTATTCAAGTACTGAACTTAAGTACAATTTTGAAATACTTGTACTTTACATGAATATTTCCAGTTGCTACTTTGTTCTACTCTAGTAGAATTCAGAGGAACATTATGTACTTTTCCTCCCATACATTTATTTTGAACCTTTAGTTACTATTTAGACTTAGATTAATTATGGGAAATATAATCAGCACTTAAACAAGACTTTAGTTTCACCTGAAGTAAATTCACAAACTACCCTGCAGTGTACAAAGTGATTAAAACTAGCTGCCCCTTTGCCAGCTTTGATTACACTTAATTAATTATAATAGAAACATATGATATAATATGAATCGGAAATGGACCAATTTGCATAATAAGTACTTTTACTTTTGTTACTCTAATATTTTGATGCCAATATTTTTACTTGAGTAACATTTTGAATGCAGAACTTTTACTCTGGTACTTCTACTTTAACTAAAGTACAAGATCTGAGTACTTCTTCCACCTCTGCATCCCTATTCAATATGATATTTTCCCCTCTGCATATTGGCTGTTTATGGCATTGTATGTTATTTATGTTAAAACCAATACAATATTTTAAATACAGGAACATTTAAACAACAACAAAAAACCCTAAAAGATGAAACCGGTGAAATTAGGATTTTACTTTCTTTCATCTTTAACTTGAACAAATACACCTGGGATTAAATTACATACTTTACCAAAGTATAACCATCTACATTTTTCCATAAAAAACGTTATTGTAGTAAATGTTATTTTAAAAAAACCAAAATAGATGATTAACACTAATTGTTTAATAATTGGTAATCCATCTCTCTCCATTTATTCCATTAATATATTCATCTTTATCTTGACCATTTTAGATGGTTGTGTACGGGACAAGATCTAAAAGTTCTACCTCTCCTGGACAGACTTAAAACAAATATATGTCAGCTGTAGTTTATTTAAGCATGTTTGATTGAATGCTTGCAAATGAGTGTATATATTATACATTATCATTGCTAGATTATATATTGAAAAATCCTTTTAAACGAGGTATACATTGTTCTTGAACCACAGAAGATAGTTACATCGGTTACATAAACATACGCCAGATTCAAACAGTTTCAGCACAGCGGGTCATACTGATATGACTGCTGTTATTTCCGACCAACTACTGTCACAATCATCTCATCTAATCATTTGTCAGTACCAAGTAACAATTAACGACTTTAACTTTGAAGGCACAACCCCTTGACCTCAGTGTTCCGGCTGTTTGAAGATCATTTCAATGGTCAGTCTTCGTCAAAGAAAAGTGACTGTTAAACATTGTTTGTGCTTTATTCACACGTATTACTGATATGCCAAGTGTTTTCAAATGGCTTTGGCTAAAGTTGTACAATATGTTGTAAACAGACCCTTTCCATCATTTCCTTTTTTCCCCATTTGGCCTATGTGATGAGTGAATCCAATGGAATGAGATGCAGATATCTGTAGTTAGTAGCATCGTTCTGGTTATAAGCTGTGTAGAGTGTGGAAGGCCTTTGCTGCCTGTTGGGGAATATTTTCCAAGGCCCATAACTTAGACCCAGTTTATCAGTTCAAACTTGTCCTGAATAGGCTGAAGCTGGGTAGGGCAACAGCTTCAGCCTATTTTATGTTTTACATCAACAAGTTACTGTCAGAACCTCACTCAACCTAAAACTTGTATTGCTTGAGTTCAGGATATGATATTATTTAAAATAAGACATTGTGTGTTAAATACTCTTAAAAAAAAGTGATGCTCAAATATGAAAGATCAGATAAATTGACACTAAGTAAATAAGTCATAAACCTATGCTATATAGTACATGTTCATTGGATTTGAAAAGAACAAAGAAGTAGACGGGATGCATGAACATTCTTTATATCAAACAGTGTGGTGAAATCAAAATGAAAAACAAACTAATCCATCAAGATACAGGTATTTTTTACTTTCTACATTGTTGTTGTATTAGCAGATGTATTAAGTACTAACACTCATCTTCACCAATGTACACCACCACTGAAAAAATAATATATATACAAAATCTTGAACATGTCACTAATCAAATATTTTTGAAAAATAGAGAACATAAAAATAGAAACAAGAAATATGGACGTATGAACAAAATGCCCAAATGAAGGAAAACAAGACTAGAATGTTTTAAGAATAAAGCACAATAATATTCTTTTCGCCTAAGTAAAGTTAAGTGTCAGGATATCCAAGTTCAAATATGTACACATTTGGAAATTACCAAAAGTGGGCCACTGGCCAAAAAATAAATAAAGAAGATTTAATTATTTACAATTGTTCATGCTTCACAATGCCTTCAACATATAATAGCCCTATGCATTTAAACTATTGCTTTAATCATAGATCAATATTTGTGGACACTTTTTTGAGTCTTTGTATTTACAGTACAAGTATACATAAATACATTAATGTCTTACAATGCAAGACATTAAGACATTACTGCAAGATCATCAAGTTCATTCTACACCAACAATTAATACATTTTCATTACAATAAGGCAGCTAATGGCATTTTTAATGCAAAACACACATACCACTTATGTTAACCCTGGTAGATGCCTGCTGTACTTTCATTGACCACCATAATGGTATAAGTCAACAGGCACATTATCTTCCTCTTCTTTGATTAATGTGCTCTCATTGCCATGACCTATTGTAACCATGGAGTATTCCTGGGATTCTTCTGTTTCCACTGGGACTGAATACTCAACATTTTCAAACTCCCATTCGGTATTTAAGTTACAAGCTGTGTTTGGATGTGTAACGGACCCTTGTGGTGCACCCAGGATGTAATACTGGACATTGTCATTTTCTGGTTCTGTTTTCTGTCTTTCAGAATCTGGCAATGCAGTCATTAACGTATATCCAAGGGCTCCTGTAGGTTCACCTGGGACAAAATGTGCAACGTCCTCAGGGTTTGACTCCGTTTTGACATCATCATGAAGAGGACAATATTTTTCCTCTGTGTCCGGTTCTGGTTTTATATTTCCATAACATGGATGCCAATCCTCCTCTTTGATTTGTAAGCTTCCCTGGAGAGGACTGCCACAACCATCACCCACTTGGTTCCCATTGTTTTGGACAATCTTCCTAGGATCTCTTTGTACCTTTGTGCCATCACGAAGGATCCAATATTTTTGTTTCGTTTTGTAGCCTTCGAGAAAATGGACACAACTAACACCTGAATGGTATTTCACTTGGCGCACACAACGACCAAAGAGCCGACATTGCTTATTTTGGCTCTTCTCTAGATGACTTTGTGAAGCATCGGAAGCAAATAGAAATGGCAATTTGAAGATCTTGTTTACCTTACTGTATCTGTCATAACCTCTGAGCATGGATTGGACTTTGGTCGTTACAGCTATTGAAAACTCCCAGCTTCTTCTGTGTTGGGAGCTAATATCAAAGTTATAGTCAAGGATGTCATACCAAGTGGTTGGCAAATAGTGTCCTCTATTTGTTTGTGTGTATTTATTTATCTCCGACACTACAGCTTGGGTCAATAGCCTCAAGTGCAGTTTTTCTTTCTCTCCGGATTTTGTTACATCCAAATCCAAACCTATCTCCGTGCAATTGGGATAACGGATCACCTGACTGCAACACATTGCATTTGTTTTTTTTCTCTTGTATTGTATCTTGTTAGGATTATCACTTGTCATTGTGTCTTTTTCCTCCTTTGTTTGCAGTGCCAGCTTTCTTTTTTCAATAGCCTCCCTCCATCCAGCACCCTGAATCCGATCTCGCCAAGTCCATTTACGAGTTGGAAGGTTGTCTCTGAGAAGACTGAAATGGAATTTTCAAAGCCCTCGTTAAACCAGTCAGGCCCAACTTTCTTCGGGGCTAAAGAGTAGAACAAACGTGCAGGACTTGTCCCCTGCAAGTCAATGTTAAAGTTGTGTTCAAGGATATCAACAATGATGTCACCCTTTGTTCCACACAATGATCTGGCAAAACCAACCACTTCCAACATAATTTCGCGAGTCAGTACATTGGTGTCAAGTTTATGTCTTGCTTGGTCTTTGTCAACAAACAGGTTCAAACCTGTGTTCTTGCAAGCAGGAAAGTATTCCACTATCATCTCCTCTATTGCAGAGAAGGAAGAGGACTGAACCTTTTCAGGCTTTGGTGCTGTGCAGTTTGCATCCCCAGAGACAGCGTCCGCCATGGTATGTGTAGGTGGATGATGCATGTGACTAGGGTTAGAGTCATCCTGACAAGTCTTATGACTTCTTTCTTGAAAGCATTTGGGGCAATATTTTGTAGGATTTTGTAGGCATATCAAGTCAGGCAGTTCAAAAGGCTTATTCACAAAGTACATTTTTGTCCCAATTTACTGGCCTTTATGTTTGTCCATAGTTGCTCTTTATAGGCCCTGCGATACAGTTCATTTTTTAAATGAAGAGGAAAATTATACTCCAATATCTCTGTGACGAAGTGCTTTTGGTCTGATATCAGTGCTGTGGCAAACGTATTCAATTCAACCATGATGCCATTGGTCAGCAGATTTGGGTCGAGATTTAGTTTTTCTCCAGATCCTACATTGAAATCAATGCCTAATGTCCTGCATCTAGAGTAAGAATATAATGGACAATGTTCAGTATGAGGTGTTGAGAGAATTTGCTGTATACGATTTTCCCGCACTCTCCACAGCTTTAAATCTAGTTCATTTTTCTGTTCAAACCGCAGAACTGCCTACTTCTTGGTTTGTGATGGCAGTATGGGACGAACCAGCACTACATCCATCTGTATTAAGGTTGTTCTTTAATTTCAGTATCCCAAATAGATGTTCTTTTCCTAGGTTCTTTGGTCTCTTGAAGGGTTTCACATAGCGTTTTAGATTCCTTTGCTCCACTGTAGCATGAATTCGGGCAACAATGCTTCTGGCAAGGTCAGGATCTCCACTTTGCAAATGAAAATCGAAGTTGTGTGTAAGAATGTCAAGACAAATCTGCTCAAAAGTACCACACAACTTTTCTGCAAAGTTTGTCACTTCAGCCACTGATCCATTTGTCAGTTTGTTGATGTCCAGTTTTTTATTTGCCTTTTGTCAACATTTAGCTTCAGACCTATTTCCTGGCAGAAGGGATAGAGATCTACATCCTTCTGTGAAATATGTTCTGAAGTTTCAGCTTGTGAATGAGGTGGGAACACGGGAGCAACATCACACTCTTCCATATTCAATATGTTACTGAGTTGAGGTTTTATATCGCCCATACCAGGGAGAATAGGAAGTACAAAAATCTCATTTGAGAATTTGATCGCATCTTTAGAGTTTTCCAGCATTCTCACTCGATTCATAATTTCCAATGTGAATATGTTTAGCTGGTATTCACTCTGCAAGCCGAAATCAAAGTTGTGTTCAAGAAGCTCCATAATGAAATGCTGCTTGGAAGAATTCATTGCTAAGGCAAATTTTGCAACTTCAAGCAGATGAGTGTCTCGCAAATTGTCAACCCTAATATTTTGCTTTGCACCAAATCCAATATGGAATTCAAGACCTAATTTCTTTGAGTTGTGGAATGGACCAAACTCGAATGTTGAGAGGATTTTTCTTGCACGGTTAGCACGCAACTTCCACAAGTTGTTCTCTGTTTCCATTTCTTCTTGTTTCATGTCACCTTTGTCTAGTTCATTTATTGAAGTGTGTGTTAGCTCTTCAAATCCACAACACCCTCCTTCATTTGGTTTATTAGCAAAGGGTGGGTTTACATTTGAGTTTACAGTTGGTAAACTGGATGAGATGTCACCAGTGGTGAGGAAAGGCTCGGGAATACCCAGACAACTCGATTCTAATTGTCCTGGAACATCTGATTGTCGAGAACAACGATTAGGTTTTTTAAAGTTATTCTGAATGCCACGATTTTCTGAGTCTGTGAATTCGTCTGAGTCTAGATCAGACTGTCCTAGAGGACAAGTGTAGTCGTCTGCTCTTTCTTTCTCTGTTTGCAGTGAAAACGTTCTTTTTTTGACAGTAGTTTCCCGTTTGCGGGCATACTGACGAATAACATAAACTTCATTGAACCAGTCTGGCGTCGCTCTGTGAAAATACACTGCAGGATCAAGATCTCTCCCCTGCATCCCAAGGTTGAAGTTGTGTTCAAGGACATCTTTAATGACCTTAACTTTAGTTCCACTTAGCATTTTGGCGAATCTGGCCACTTCATGAATAATCTCGTTTGTCAATACATTTGTGTCAAATTTATTTTTTGGTTTGTCTTTGTCCACAAACAGGATAAAACCAATTTCCTTGCAAGAAGGGTAGTAGGCCATTATCATTTCCTCTCTAAATGAGAGGGTAGAGGACTGATCCCTTGCAGTCCTTTGTTCGGTGCAGTTTGCATCACCAGAGATTATGTCCTCCATTGTTAGTGGATGAAGATGATGAATGTGAATAGGGTCAGAGTCATCCTGAAAAAGCTTATGACTTCTTTCTTGGAAGCATTTGGGGCAATATTTTGTAGGATTTTCTAAGCACATCAAGTCAGGCAGTTCAAAAAGCTTTTTTTTTCGATGATCGCTAGAATCCATCTTCTTCAAATGTGATACGTTCATTTTTCTCCATACTTGATGGGTGAAGGCCCTGCGATGCAGCTCATTCCTTAAATCAAGATCACAATTATACTCCAGTATCTCTGTGATGAAGTGCTTTTGTGCTGATATTAGTGTTGCAGCAAATGTGTTTAATTCAACCATGATGCCATTGGTCAACAATTCTGGATCAAGATTTTGTTTGAATTCAGATCCTACATTGAAATCAATTCCTAATTTCTTGCATCTAGAGAAAGAATAAAGTGGGCAATGTTCTTCATGAGGTACTGAGAGGACTTGCTCAATCTGATTAGACCGACATTTCCACAGCTTTAAATTCAGCTCATCTTGCTGTCCGAAATCAGTAGATCTGCCTACCTGTTGGTCTATCTCCACAGACTGAGAAGATCCATCACCACATGCATCTAAATGTGGGTTCCTCTGGCAATCAAGTTTTACCATTGTTGTAGAGTCTTTTGTGGTGTCCTTTCCAGTTATATGAATTGCACAATTTGATAGATTCTGCTTATCCACTATAAAAGGAATCCGTGCAAGAATATCTCCGGCCAGGTCAGAATCTCCACTTTGGAAATCAAAGCAAAAGTTGTGTTTGAGGATGTCAAGACATATCTGGGCAAATTTTCCACACAACTTTTCTGCAAAGTTTGTCACCTCAGTCATTGATCCATTGGTGAGTTTGTCAATATCCAGTTTTTTATTTTGCTGTGGATTGTACACATTTAGTTTCAGACCTATTTCCTGGCAGAAGGGATAAAGTTCTAAACTTTTCTGTGAAATATGTTCTGAAGTGTTAGCTTGAGAATGAGGTGGGAGCAGCGGAGAAAACTCACACTCTTCTATTTTCATTATGTTTGCAGAGTTGAGGTTTTACATTGCCCATACCAGGACGACCAGGAAGCTCAAAAACCTCATTTGAGAATTTAATTGCATCTTCACAATTTTCCAGCTCTCTCACTCGATTCATAATTTCCAATGTGAATATATTTTGCTGGTATTCACTTTGCAGGCCGAAGTCAAAGTTGTGCTCAAGAATCTCCATGATGAAATCCTGCTTGGATGAATTCATTGCTATGGCAAATTTAGCAACTTCGAGCAGATGATTGTCACGCAAGTTGTCAACACTGATGTTCTTCTTTGCACTAAATCCAACATTGAATTCAAGGCAAATTTCCTTGTGTTGTAGTATGGACCTAAACACGAATGTTGAGAGGATTTTTCTTACACGGTTAGCACGCAACTTCCACATGTCGTGCTCTGTTTCCATTTCTTCTTGTTCCACGTCTGACTTGTTTGGAACATTTATTGGTGTCTGACATTTCTCCTCAACTCCACAATGCCCTCCTTCATTATGTTGACTCGCAAGTGGTGGAATCACATTTAAGTTATCGGTTGGTAAAGTGGATACAATGTAATTGGTGTTGAGGAAAGGCACATTGAAGCCAGTTTGATTCTGGTTTTCTAGGAATGTCGTAGCCCAGAGAACTTTTGGGGTTTTGTGACTGATTCTGTTTGCAAACGTTTCCTGAATCTGTGGCTTTGCCCAAGATTAGTTGAGATGATCCCAGGGGATAAGAAACAGTTTCCCTCTGTTTCCCATTACTTCTTGTTCCATGTCACATTGACGTCTTGAATCAGACTTTCCTACAGGACAAGTGTGACAATGATCTCCCTCTGCTGTTCTACTGCTATACAAATGAGTGTGATAAGAGAGTGTGTTTGTTTCCATGTCTCTTTTGCGCCTTTTGATTGCCTGTTTACTTTTTAAATCAGACTGCCTTCTTTTTGTCACTTCCTTAAACTGATATTGCGGAGCTTCCATATCAGACAGAGCTGTTTCTCTGTGTCTTTTGAAGGGATTTGTCTGGAATGAAAACAGCTCAGTTTTAAACTCTGGGCTTATTTTGGTACCAATGTTGAGAAATCTCGTTCTTTTCTTCAGCAAGTGCGATATCTTGAACCAAGCTCGACTTTTTTCTTGTTGACTTTTTAGATCAAGTTCAAAATTGTGCTCCAAAACATCCAGAACAATAGGGCTGTAGGATGCAGTGAGAATTCTGGTGAAGTGAATTAACTCTAACATTATGCCCTTTGTCAACAAACCTGGCTCTAGACTTTGTTTTGACCCAAAATCAAGGTTCAGACCAATTTTCTCACAAAAGGGAAACAACTTGGAAAAATCATCATCTTTTTGTTTCTCTGCTGACTGTGCTTCTGAAAACTTGAATTCATCTTCATAGTCACTGTCATCACTTTGTGCCCTATCCATCTCTTCCAAGAGACTTTCTGCCTTAATGCAATCTTTGGATGTTGCTTGTGAACACTGTAATTCCTCTTCATGTTCCCAATCATCAGTGTTATCCGTCTCCACCAGGATACTTTCAGTCTTGTGCTTTGTGGATGCCATGTTCGGTTCATTGCTGCTCGAGCATTCTGGATTACATGGTGTGTCAAAGAGAGTGAAAACTTCATGTTTATCTTTAGGAGGTTTCCTAATCAAGTTTTTAACTTTGTGCATAATTCGAGATGTAAAATCAATCCGCTGTTGATCATTTTCCAAATCAAGATCGAAATTGTTCTCTAAAATGTTTGTGAAAAAATGCCTTTTACTCTTGTTTACTGTTTTAGCAAAGTCACAGACCTCAAGTATGACCCCATTTGTCACTAAACCTATATCCAGTTTTTTGATGGTTGTGGATGCTACATTAAAATCCAATCCAATCCTATTGCTGCAATGGAAAGGTTCTGGATGTCTCGAATGTTGTCGACACCACATAATGCGCCACTGCCATACTTTGTTGGCATCCATCTTTTTTGTTTGTTCTTCAGACAGCAGTTGTCCCCGTTTTCCATCTGCAGTGAATTCACCTACTGTTCTTCTTTGCCTTGTATGTTTTCTTTCCTGTATTTAGTTAGAAAAAAGAATGAAATTACATAACAATATGTATTAATTATATAATATTTATCAGACTAAATCCCAGATATCTGACACTTAGACCCTTAGTTCTCAAAGTACTCTGGTTACTTGTGATAGGCATTAGGCAATATCTTTGACATAATGACCATTTATTTTATTTTCTTTCTTTAGATAAAAGTGATTTGCCAAGCAGCATGTTTAGTGGCTAATGTATTTTGATTCATCTTATAACTGCAGCTCATTTAAATTTGAATATTTTGGACATATTGCAGATATTTGTTATAGTATTTGTCATATCTTAAATTTAATTTCTTCTACTGCCATACATTTGTTGACTATGAGGGGCATTTTCTTGTACAGTAAATGAATACCAACTTTAAAAAAAACACAATTCTACTTGCAGCAAATTTAGATTTAATTATTTAATCTTGCTACATACCTTGTAAGATATTCATCTTGAATAAAAGCTCCTCCAAGTTTTCTAGCCCACACTGAATGTCTGCTTCCTATGTGGTCATCCTCCAGACAGCAACGAGACTCTTCTGGTACAGTGCTACCATGGATGAAAAAAACATTTAAAAACATGTGGTGAAAGAAGTATTCATAATTATTCCTTTGGTACAAGTTGGAACCCTGAATTCAAAATGTAAAGAAATAAAGTATAGGCAACAACATATAATCAAAAGTACTCCAAGTTACAGTACTTATTAAAATCAAAACATTAGAATACTCGATAATAATAAGTGATTCATTAGCATGAATCCATGAGCGATCGATCTACTAAGGTTAGAAGGAACAACAAAAACATCTTTCATGCAGGCAGAGGTGGAAGAAGTACTCAGATCTTGTATCAAATATCAAAGTGTGAATACTTCTACAAGTTAAAGTCCTGTATAACAAAATGTTACTCAAGTAAAAGAACAACACGTTTTGGCATCTAAATATATATATAAGTATCAAAAGTAAAAACACTAATTATGCAGATTGGCCAACTTCACACTCCTAATTGTTTTGATTATAATTATTGATGCGTTTATTCAGCATACTTTCAGCTACAGAAACCATTTCAAATATTAAAATGTTCATCTCCTTCAGGGCATGACTGCTATGACTTGTAACCCAATAGGAGGAACCTTCAAATCCTCTTACCTAAACCGTGCGCAAAATGCTACTGCTTCCACATACTTTTCAGCTAGAGACTTCGTTCCAACTTTAAAATGGTCGCAAGACATTCACTATTAAACTCATTATTCAGATTTTTGATATTTTTTACACTTGAGATATTTAACTTAGTTTGGAGCTTGGTAAAGAGACTTCTTCAGATTTAACATTAGTGTGTATGCGCAGCTCGTTAAGGGTTATGTGCGTGATGTCACAGCTAGAGTGGAGGACAGCTGTGAAATTCACCTTCAACCTTTTTCTTCAACCTGCCATAACTCCCAAACCCTACACTCCTTGGTAGGGATGAGTATTGTTAAGGTTTTATCGATACCCGCTTATCGGTCCGGTCTTTTAAGCGGTACTTTTATCGGTTCTTTTGGAGAAAATAATAAGGTAAGCTAACTAAACCGGCGACCTTGAGAGCCGCCTATATAAATAAATGAATTATTAAACAATTGTGAACAAAACTAACATTGCTTTTTATTTAAATTAAATACATAATACACTGAAACAAAAATATAAATGCAACACTTTTGTTTTTGCTCCCATTTTTCATGAGATGAACTCAAAGATCTAAAACATTTTCTATATACACAAAATAACCATTTCTCTCAAATATTGTTCACAAATCTGCGATAGTGAGCACTTCTCCTTTGCCAAGATAATCCTGAAGTTAACTGAAGTTATCAAATAAATGTAGCGTGGTATAAAGTACACTGAATGGGAGTGGAGCAGTAATATAAAGTTGCAGGATTAGTCTCAAGTACCTCAACATTGTCCTTAAGTACAGTGTCTAACTAAATGAGATACTGTCTACCGCTGTTCATTGTTCAAGATTGAAATGGGCAAGCCGGGTTTCTGCCCCTCTATTCACATGTAGCCTTTCATACGTGATGGTTTCTTCATTCTCGAACTGTTGTGGAGCAGAACTATAAAGTTGCAGGATTAGTCTCCAAGTACCTCAATATAATTATAGTAGTAGTCTGCACTTATGTGCTCATTTCATCATTCATGTATTTATATTGTTCTACTAAAACTGAATCAAACCAAAAACAAGGGTGGCCTGTTTGGGATTACTATATATATATATATATATATATATATATATATATATATATCAGTGTTTCCCACAGATCTGAAATATACTTGGGCGGGTGGTGGCAGCGGGGGGGGGCGCGAAGAAAAAAAAAAAAAAAAGTTTTAACAACATGTATATTTATTGACTTTTCATTCCTGTATAATCATTTTGGGGTTGAGGTGACGTGCAACAACATTAACATTAACCTTTCTGTTGGTCGCTTGTTCGTTGATGATGTTGGAAATTGTTGATGATATTGGTGATGTTGTTAATGATGTCAGGAATTATGTCTTGAATGTTGTTGTATTATTGTTTTAAGTGTCGGACCCCAGGAAGAGTAGCTTTTGTCAAGAGCAAAAGCTAATGGGGATCCTTAATACACATAAACCATGTGCACGGTTGTGGCATGACCACCAAAACAGAAAGATATGGACACAAGATGTGTGCAACTGTATTTAGTTTCCTATCCATGTGAACATGATTTAAGTGTATGTGGGGGGGGGGACCTAACCTCCTAGGGGCATGCTCCCCCGGGTGTTATTATTCCCAAGGTCAGGGTCCTTGAACACAACACAAGCCTAACGTGTCATCACGTGGTATATGTCCCGTCTGACATGGGTGCAGTTCTGCCGGAGAGCACCAGAACACCGCTCCACATCATATAAATACTTGGGCACCATTTTTGATGACCACCTCAAATTTGATGTGAATACTGAGTGTATTTTGAAGCGGGGTCAACAGAGAATGCACCTTCTTCGCAAACTGAACTCTTTCTCTGTCAGGCCTTTCATTCTTTGTCGTTTTTACCAAGCATTCATTGAGAGCCTTATTTGTTTTTCTTTTATCTGCTGGTTCCATAGCCTTACACTGAAAGACAGGAACAGCCTGAACAGCATTGTTAAAACCTGCTCCAAGATCATCGGCGTGAAACAGAGAGACTTAAATTCCTTCTGTAACCAACAGATTCTGCGGAAAGCAGAGAGCATTCTGAACTCTCCAGGTCATGTACTTTCACATGAATTTCGTCTGTTGCCATCAGGGCGTAGATATGGTCTACCTCAGTGTTTCTCAAACTTTTTCACACCAAGGACCACTTAACCAATAAATAACACTCGCGGACCACCCTAACTCACAAATATCCAAAATCGCATCGTTTTTCTGATTACAAATCGCCTGAAAATGGTACAAACAAGTGGAAACATGTGTGACGAAGGTGTTGCCCTGGGCTTTATCATGCCATCGAAAGTGAAACTTAAGCTCGCTCCATTGCGGAGATATTCCCGCGAGAGTGCAGAAAACTTAAATTTATTTATTTATTTCAAATGTGAAATGTTACCAATATACCCGCGGACCACTAGGGGGCGCTCACGGACCACCAGTGGTCCGCGGACCACACTTTGAGAAGCACTGGTCTACCTGATCAAAGGACTAATCGCTTTTCTAAATCATTCATCCCTTCTGCACTCAAACTTTTAAATTCTTGAAAAGACTTTTAACTTGATTATTTATTTATTATTGTGATGCTTTGAACTATTTATAGTGTAAATTGGAATTATCCACATCTGTGCTCCCGGGTGTATCTGTGTGTTTTCTTCTTGTATGTTCCTACCTGTGTAACATGACATAAGCTGCTGCTCATAACCAATTGCCCCTTGCAGGATTAATAAAGTTGTTGATTGATTGATTGATTGATTGACAAGACGCTGAGACCTTAGGCTGAGCCGCCGAATCCCTCGGAAACATCATAAAAGCCATTTTCAAACAGTTTTCTGGTGAAAGATTAACTAGGCTACTGGATGAAATAATATGACTGGTATAGGTGCGAAAATTAAACACTTTTTGAAAAAAATATTATGATAAAATATTGTATATATTTATAATTCAGCAATATTACGATAAACTCACAGCTATTTCGCGGCCCGGCAGTAACACCTCCGCGGCCCGGTACCGGTCCGCAGACCGAGGGTTGGGAACCCCCTGCTCTACAGTACAGGTTAGCTCTGAGTGTTAGCGAGGCTTGCTAATGTAAACAAAGACGAGATTACGTCCAAAACACGTCAGGCATTGTTTCTGATAGCAATTTTTCTGTGGGTCCGCTGCCGATTTTGACGTCAGATTGGATGGACAACGTCACAGCAGATGGAAATCTGGATCAGCTTCGTTGTAGCCCCGTTTTTAGAGATTTGGGTACGGAGGAAAAGAGAGAGGGTTGTATTTTCTGACGCTGCGTGAGTTCCCCGACACACATATTTATGTATAAAAGACATCACAAAAGTGCATTTTGCATGATCGGTATCCCCTTTAAAAGCAACCCAACGGAAGTTTCATGTGAGTTTAGTTCCTTCACTCGTAGCGGGCTGCGGGGGTGATAGAGACGGGAGCATGTTGATGCGACCTTCCTAGCCGGAGATATGGCCGCATTTACAATAAACCTCCGTTGGGGTCGCTTAAAAACAAATATCGCAAATCGATCACAATGGTTGCCCTTCTGTTTATTTCTCCGCGGTGGATTAGAGCAACATGTAGTTCGTGTAGTTCTCCATTTCCACTACCATTGCTGATGGTTGTGGTAGAGGAGCTGTAGATTTTGCACTAACATCTGTAGCATGGTCAGTAGCATCTGGAGCACAAAAGCAACCCTGTGATCTGCCATTGTTGTTGTTGGCGAAAAAACAACAGCACAGGTGGGGAGAGAGAGGCAGGGCTCTGGCTGTTTCTCTCCCTCCCCGAGGCGAGCGTGTGCTCCTGCTGTAAAAGGCAGGTGCACCGCACCCACTGCCACTAACTCTGAGCCTGGCTCCCGAGCAGGACGTTTTGTCCTGCGAGATACCGGGACCTGGCTCGAAACACTGTGTTGGCAAAACACATCAGCAATGACGCGGGGGGGGAGCAGTAGAGGTGGGGAGAGGCGGGGCTATTGCGTCATTATCAGGAAATGATCATATAGGGCGTACACACGGAGCCGTTTGGCCCCCAGAGTGTTGCGTCTGCAGATCTACCCACTTTGGGACCCGTTATCGTTTCTGCGTTTCCCTGTCGGCCTCATGTGGCCGACCCGTATCGTCTCTGTGTGGCTGCAACCCTAGGCTCTAGTAATTCTGCTCAAAGTGCATCAGATTGAAGCATTTTTACTTTAAAATGTTACAAAAAATCTTCCCCGGACACCCCTAGAGGATGTGACGTGTTAAAAACATACTCATACACTATTAAATACATTTGAAGCCTTTTTATATAAGCTGTCCACCATGTCAATAAGTTTCAGTTTTTGTAATGTATTGGTCTTTTGTAGAGGTTTTTTCATTTATTCTTTACATATTCTATTGTGTATTCCTTGGATACTCTATCGATCTTTATCTTTTCTAACTGTACGTTTTTCAGTCTGGGGGGGGGGGGGCGCCAGCTAAAATCTTGCCTAGGGCACAGCAAATTTGGTCAGAAACCGGCCCTGAAGTCATACCCCCAGCACCCCCCCCATTTGAAACATGTTCCCACGGCTATGCATACACGATAAAACCTCAACCAAAGTGTTGGCCCACACGGCAGACTTACAAGAGGGAAGGAAGGTTCCAGCCGCCATGCTTTCATTGTGACGACGTTAATCACAACCCGAACCGCCATGATCGAATAAAGTGAAACAAATGGTAGTACACGTACCAAAGGTAGGCTGAACCCTCTCGGAGACTTTATCCTTCCTTGTTAACATCACGTACGTTGTCCCAAAAGATGTCTTCTTATATGAAATACAGTCCGAAAAACTCTCTTAAATGTAGAACAGTCGATGCACAGCTTTCACAGGAAGCGAAGAACAAAGATCTGAGCGGGAAATTTCAAAATAAAAGTGTCACCATTAGCGATCAAACGGCATTTGTCAATGTGCACAATTATATGATTACTAACAATCAATGTAATATATTCGTTACTTCTGTGTTTTCCAACACATTGTTTGATGTTGCAGCACTTTTATATGCTTTTAAATCATGACATTTCAATGTAAGTTTAAGTAACTCATTTCCGGTGGTAATACTACTGCCCTTTTAAATGCCACAATCTTAAATTATTTAAACAATAATTCAAGAGTATTCAATTATAATTCAAAGAGGTCCAGATCCTCAAATGTTCTACCAGCAAAGGTCAGAACCTCTATTGTAGAAGTAGCGTACTATGGCCTAACTCTACATCTTTTTTATTCTTTTGTTTTCTACTAATATGACTGCTGGTTGATTGAGCCAAGAAAACGGTGCTTGGTTTAAAAATGCCTATTCAATCTTTGTGTAGGAGGCCTGACTCACAGCTGGAAACAATTCAGTAACAACAGACAGAAAAAAAATTGCTCTGTGAAGATTATAATTCTCATGAATTTATCAAATTATTAACAGACTCAATAAATGAAATAAACAGGAGATGTTCATAATTGTTGGAGATACTTGCCTGCTTTTGAACTCAAACTGAGCAGGCGATTACAGTTTATTTCACAAGAAAATACACCCAGACACTTCAATACATTGACTTTCTAGCCAATTACTCCATAACGAAACTTAAATATTTAATTCAACCACATCAATCAGAAAATAAAACACAATCCAACAAAGTATTTTTCATTAGTGTATGCATCAGATGCCAGAGACAAGTTTGGCATACCGAGTGAAATAGTAGAATAAAAAAAAAAATTGTATTATGTTATGTTCATAATTCTGGGTGGGAAAAAAACTTGAGAAGTAACTGCACACTACTGCGTTGTATCATAAAGATTCTGTTTCCTGTTGGAGCATTTCTTTAATCTGTACAGTTTTAGTGCTAGTTGGGGCGTGTTCAGAAGGCTCTGAAAAGCTGGTTTGGCATGTATCCCAGGTGGAGGAAGGAAGATTGGGCTTCCCTCTCAAGGTTAGCCAGTTCCAGGACCGTTGGTGCCAGAGCATCCACGTGACCCTTGTAGTTACCACCTAGGCAAGGGCAACAGGTTTGTTAGTCATGCTCAACACAAATGCAGTGGATGTATCTTTAGCAAAGTTACCAGAAAATCTATGCAATGATTATGATACATTTGTAAGCAGTTTAAAACATACCTCCCAAAGCCTCACGCTGACCTTTCCATCAAAATCATTCAAAGGTACTTTGATGTCTGGCTCGCACTGTGTGACGGTGCACTTCAGATGCTCCTCAATATCTGACAGGAGCTGTGGAAAGAGGAAAGGGAATAAAAGACAAGTAGAATAGAGAATCCACAATGGTTAGTGTGGAATTATGTCATAAGGGTCAAAAGTGTGTGCTCAAGCTTACAATGCTTCCAAATTATAGCAAAACCTTTCTGCTCATTGGAGTTTTACTTTGAATGTTTGCATCTGCTTCCTATCAAATCACTTAAAAATCCCTCTGCTGAATCAGTTGAATATCAAATTACAGATTTTCCTAGCTGCCTTGGCTTGAATTAGTTTGTTTCTGCATCTTTGTTCACCTCTTTCTCTTTGTCCCAGATGGTGCAACCTCCGTTCTCCTTCAGTCGCGTGTTGTAGCAGCCTCTGCCCCTGTTCGCACAAACGTGGTACCACACCTGCACATATGAAGAAAACATTTAATTGGAACTTCTTTTTAAAAGTTATCTGTAATTAAAATGAATTAGCATATTTCTGTATCTCTGCTACCTTCTCCTTTTCCATAGCAACCAAGGAAATGGCCAGTCCCATTCTGCAAGTTAAAAGCAAAAGAAAAAAAATGTAACTAAAATCTAATTATTTTCAGTTAAATCATAGTGTAATGAGACATTTTAAAAGGTATATTGTGTGAATTTACAAACAAAACTAATATGGTGGCCGAGGGAAATAATAATTGTAACTCCTCTTCAGCCAAAATACACAAACTCAGTTAGTCTCAGGTTGTCAGCGCTTACCTCTCGGCTCTTCCGACTCTGCCGATACGATGGACGTAGTTCTGCTTCTCATCTGGCAGGTTGACGTTAATCATTGGAGAAAGATGAAGTGAGCGGTCTTATATAAAAACATTTATGATTTTGTGACGACCGTTGGTCCGTTTTATTTTGAAGATCTGAAATATTTACCATACGGAACTCCGTGGACGTCAATTCCTCTGGCAGCTACATCTGTGCAGATCGACAGCCTCACTTATTTTTTTCTGTGAACACAAGAAGATCTTACAACATAAATAGACTGGTTGTCATCCATAAAAAAGGTATCATTAAGTTCTTGTTGTTTTACCTTGAAACGCTCCAAGTTAGTCTTCCGCTCATTGGGCTTACGATCACCACGGAGACAAACGCAGGACAACTGGTGGCTTTTACTGTCCGGACCTAAAGAAAAGACACCAAAACTGAGTGTTTATTCTGATTTTTTGAAGTCCTTATTATTTTATATGTGTGTGTATGTCTAGTGATGGCTGAAATTCTCAGTAGTATACCTCCTCCTTGCTGAATGAAGTACTGTTCCATGTTGTCGCAGTCGATCTTGGTGCGACAGAAGATTATGGCTTGGTCCATCTTGTGCTCTTTGATGGCCCTCACTGTGTACTCGCCCTTTAGTATCTTGATGGCTTCTGACCACAGCTGGTGAGCACAAACAAGCATCGTTAACATATTCTTTTAATTCATCTGCACCTCACATATAAAACGTTTTCAGAAAATACCCCAAAATTGCTTTAACAGTCATCTAAGTGTGTTGTTTTACTTTACTGTTTAAAATGGTCTGAAAAAAGCATATAACTGATTTTTTGTCACATATGTGATTTATCTGAAGTGTTACCTGCAGTCTCTTGCCATCAGAGATGACCTGAGGGATTTGGTTATGAATCCTGTTGATAAAGTCTGTATAGCCTGTGGACAGAAGGCCATCCTGAGGGATACAGGGAACACTGATTAAACATTAACTGTACTTTGATGGATGCAAAAATGAATGCTTCTGATTTTAAAAGGGAAATACTCAAGATGTGTTGTACATACACACTCATCCAGGACGAGAAAGCGGACTTGGGACAGACTGAGCTTCCCGGTGGATATGAGGTCATCCAGTCTTCCGGGTCTTCCCACGACAATGTCAACCTTATTAAAATTTGACACAAATCAGAAACAGAAGAGGCAAACAAGGCAAAAAAGATCTGTTAGTTAAAACTACTTAAAGTGTAAACTCAGTTTGTTTGGAGACGGTACATGTCACATACCCCATGTTCCAGAGCAGCCATCTGGTCCTTGGCAGGCACACCACCAATCACCAACAGGTTCCTGTAAGCCACATCAAAACATTACTGCATTACTGATATCAACATTTAAAATTGATCACTGGCTCCATCTGCTGGTATAAAACAAAAATGTCATCTATAAAAGATAATGCAGGGAAATATAAAAAGTATAACGGTTAAATGTGCAGAATATATATTTTTAGATATGGCTCAGAATAAGTACTACACAGGAAATGGTTTTCCGATGTTTGTGAAATCCAGTGTTGTTAATACCTCACTAAAGTCATACCTGAGTTTGGGGTTATCCACGTATTTCGCACATTAAATGACATTGTTGAGGGTTTGTTCGGCCAACTCTTTAGATGGCTCGATGATCAGGGCTTTGGGTGAATTGGATGTTGCTTTCACCTGACTCACTTTGGCACTGCCTGCACAAACAGAGAAAAGAGGGCTAGTCAATGCAGGAATACTTTTTTTGACAGGCTGTTCAAGTAAACATGGCTGAGGAAAGCCTGATAGAAGGCGAAGATGAAAACGTTTTTATTGTGAAACTAACGATTGTTTTATCTAAATTGTCTCTGGTTAAGGTGTATGATAGTCATCGCAGTTACATTCCGTATCTGTTCTTTCTGCATATGAAATAAGGTGGTATCCAAACACCTGCCTGAGTAGATTTGACTGCGTGGCGCCTGGTCCATGGCAACAAACCCACTCTTGGGGGCATTTTTAAAGTCTTCTCCTCCAGAGTTGAACTTCAGCTCTGCCTTCTTGAACACAGATAAGAAAGAGAGCCATTTGTATGGTGTAAAACTGGCACCTGTTAGTTTTTTTAATCCAGCATTACTTTGATGTGATACCTTCAGAACGCAGGAGGCAAAGAATTGCTGACTCTTCAATTGTTGAGGGATCTCAAAAGCCAAACCCAGGTCATTACCTGAAGAGAAGAAGACAAGAAACATGAGAAACATTGCTATAGTGCCCCAATTAGTTAATGATAATAATATGAATGATAACTACTAGGACCGCACCAGGGTTTCCCACACATACTTTACTTGGGCGGGCCGCCCAGGTATATTAACGGCCGCCCAAGTATATTTCACGACCCATTTAGTTTTTTTTTTTAATTTATCCATCCGCGACCACGACTCCATCTGCGATCAATTAACTTGTGGACCATGATCCCTCGCTCTACGCCTCCTGTACCCAGGCCCGGACTGGCCATCGGGAGGACCGGGGGGTTTCCCGATGGCCTGGCCTGTTAAGTGGCCTGCCTCACACAGGGTGACTGGCTGTCTACATGATGTGGCCTGCCGACATGGCCACTGTCATACAGACCATAAAACAAAGCCCTTGATTGGTCTCTGTGTGTCAGTCAAGCTCGGGAGAACCTCAGCTCAGGTGAGGTAAAGGACTCTCTGAGTGTTTATATAGTTAACTTAGTCTAAGTTCTCTGTGGGTCTCAAACAGTTTGGTCACCATTTATGTAAACACATATTCCCATTTGAGAGGGTAGTGATTAGTAAAATATGCATGAATAAAAAAAAAGAAGTTAACTAGGTGAAAAAAGGTAAGATACACTTTTAAAACTTGTTGAGAACTAAAACTAGCCTTTGCTG